CCCCTAGCCCCACCCATCGTGTTCTCCTAGCCCCACCCCATCACGTGCTCTCCTAGCCCCGCCCCATCACATGCCTTCCTAGCTCCACCCATCACATGCTTTCCTGGCTCCCCACCAACTCATGCTCCTTTAGTTCCGACCTGAGCAGGGCTCTGTGCAATATGTGTTCAAAGAGGCACATTCAACACAGTCCCTGCGTCTGGGAGCCGGCAGGCACAGGGCAGGTCTGCTTGGGAGACGTCCCTGAGCTCGGTGAGCTGGCACAGCAGTAATATGTAGTAACTTGCAGATGCAGCCACTAGTGGACAAGCTAGTCCGCACTGCCCTCCCAGCCCCCTGCTGAGAGGCACAGGTACAGGTGGACGTTCTGTGTTCTTGGCCGTTCTTTTTTTTCCCTACGAACACTACCTGAGTGTTTCCTGTGGGCTGGGTGTTAGGACTATGGAAAGGGAATGGGGTAACGGACAGCAGACCTGAGTCCTTAGAGGATTCAGATTCGAGTGCAGGAAACAAAAGTTAACCAATTACACCAATAAATGTAGAATTATAGCTGCTGCAAGGAGAAAGGCCAAGGAGGATAGCTACATGGTGAGGTACCAGCATAGTTTGGGGCAGCCAAGGAGGGTTTCCTGGGCAAGGTGGCATCAGAGCTGAGCTCTGGAGGAGGAGAAAGATGGTCCAGGAGAACAGAGAATGCACACAGGAGGAAACTCGCTGGGCTCAGGGAATTCAGAGGAGAGGTGATGAGCGCCACACTGAAGATCTGGTCTCTCTTCTCTTTAGAGGTCATTGCCTACTGCTGTGTGACCTTGGACAAGTTACTTCACCTCTCTGTGCTTTGGTTTCCTCATCTGTAAAGTGGAGGGGATACTGTTACTGCACTGATTCGGGTGTTTGAGGATTAAAGTAATTATTGCTGCAAAGTGCTTATAGCAGTGCCTAATACCAGTAAGTCTTCCGCATGTCTCAGTAATTTTAATAATTGTGATTTTTGTCATCACCATCACTCTTCCAGAGGACTGATGTCTCCGCTTCGCTGTCCAAATTAAGCATTGTTTATCGCTGTGGGCATCTGGCGAGGTGACGAGGAGAGCTGGGAGCTGCTTCCTGTTGATGTGCCAGACTAGTCATTGTTTGTCTCATGATCTTGTTTTGTCTAGATTCCAGAATTCTCTGATGGTTTCTGGACTGGGTCCCAGCTGGCATGCTGGGCAAATTCTGAAACACCTTGGTCTTACTTCCCCAAAATCTCCATCTACCTGAGAGATGAGAACTCCAGCAGATCCTTCCGTCTAACTATCCTGCCTCAGGTATGAACTTGGATTTGTGCTTTTCTCTTTTTAACACAGAACATGCAGAAGTAAAGCACTTCATGCAAGATGGGCATATTGGGATATTGCACCTGTATTAGAGAGCATTTGCCATGAGAATGCTGTGTAACAAATAACCTCGAAAGCTGGCTATTTTAATCTGTGAGTTTTTATTTCTGCTCCGAGTCTGGGCAGGTCTGCTGGCCTCAGTGGGCTTGCTCACATGTCTCTGGGCAGCTGGTAGTTGGCCAGGGATAGGCTGGTCTCGGTTTACGATGGTCTCAGATGGCTTTAGTTGCATATCTGGTGGCTCGGCTGATAGCGTGATGGGGCCATTGGCTCTCATCATGCACCGGCTGGCTCGCACAGTGCTGGGAGAGTCCTGGGAGAAAGAAGAAACACACGGGGGTCCCTAAAGTCTGGACCTGGCACTGGCCACCATCCCTTACATGGTGTTTCCAAAATCAGACAAGGGCAGCCCAGACTCCCAGGGTGAGAAGATAGACGCCGCCCTTCCATGGAAAGAACTGCAGAGTCACATCACAAGGGTGTGGGTCCACAGAAACATAAAGAATTGAGCGCATTTTTGCAGTATCTATAGTCACACCCATATGTGTTTAGTTCTGATGTATTTCTAAATAAAGAATAAAACTGGATTCTCAGAGATGACTTTTTTCCCCCATATTCAGCAGATCATCAACTCCTCCTTCATCCTAAGCATCTGGTCAAATAGACCAAATTCCATCTTCTTGAGTCACACGTCTCACTCTATCCCCCTCCTTTCCATTTCCATGCCCCCACCCACTACCATTTCAGGACCCTCTAGTGCGTCCTCCATGCACGCCACCACCCCCCTTCCTTTTGAAACTATTGCCAGATTCATCTTCCTAAGCTGCAGCGTGCTCAGCCCCGCTCCTTAAACCCCGGAGGCCTCATTGGCCAGTGTGGCTTTCGGTGACCTCACGGGATCCCTCCTGGCTTTCCAGCATATTTCCTGCTTGCCCTTGACCGTCCATTCTTGGTGGCTGTCCTCCAGCTCTGGGTGCCGCCTCCATCTCCTAACCTTTGCTTCCACCAACCCCTCTGCCTAAAATGCCATCTCCTCCCCACTCCATCTGCGTGTCTAAATTCTTCCCATCCTTTTAGACCCAATTCAAACAACCCCTCTTTGTTGAACGTCTGCTGAGGAGAATGACCCATTTGTGAGCTCGCCCTTCAAAGTCATAATGCGTGTCTCCTAGTTTACTCTTCTGGCGTGGAATCGTATCTTTAGGGTATAATTTTATGCTGTTGCCTTTTTCATTTGACGTCTTTTTCCTTTATATACACACACATACACTTTTATTTCTTCCTCCATTAAATATTAATTCCTTGAAGATGACAGTCATGAGATTTCCTTCCCTCACACGGCCATGTGACGGTGTTTGTGGGAGAGCAATGTGTCTTGGTTGCAGTTTGGTGAATTTGGGATAAAGGAGTGGGGTTGGGAGATAGGAGGGAGGAACCATTTTGGAAGAAAAAGGTAAATGATAATATTGCCTCTTCCCTGTTCTCAACTTTATGGGTGGAGAAGTACGTTCCAGAAATGGAGAGTTGTTGGGGAAAGGATTGAAAGCTTTAGGAGAAACACAGCCCAACAGCGGACACATATGCTGAGAGCTGGAGGCTTGAGTTACATTCTCAGCACTGCTCCTGACTCACACTGTAACTTTGAGCAAATCACTTAGCCCTTTCTGCCTGTCTCTTTAACTATAAAGGAGAAATAGTGATCCCTGCCAAAGGCATTTTTGGAAGCCTGCAGTATCCTTGGATGAACAGCCCAGCATAGAGTGATGTTATTAGAGTGATGTGTTTTCAGCATCTTTAAAATAATGTGCTCTTGGTGATTAAATTTTGGTCAGTCGAAGAGCAAAATGTGGACATTATTTCATCAATAGTTTGTAACGAAAGTTAAAACCCAGCCTGAGGACACAGGTGACTGTGGACTGGAGAGTAAATGGCGTGTGTGCTGGTCAGCGGAGGCAGGGACTCAGAAGAAGCAGGAGGAGGCAGGCGTTCAGGGGGAGATCTGTTACTACGTCCAGGGCAGGCAGCAGCCATCAGAGCTGAAGGTTCACTGGGGACCGTCAGCCCCTTTTAGGACGAGCACTGGGTGAGTGTAGCCATATAATGAGGGAGAGTTGGCAGTTTTGCATTTAATTTGCATATCTCTGCATAAGGATCCAGTTCTGTTCTCACTTATGAGACTGTAGATGTTTTTTGGGTTGACTTTGACATGTCCACATTTTCAGTCTTTGAAAATCTGCTTTCCCCTCTGTTTTCCTGATTTCTTATTCATCGTGACAGGCAGTTGTGAACCATCACCTGGGGAGAAGCCCACCAGCTCTGCACCCCCAGCGACACCCCACGGGGGCAGTGCTGCGGCCGCCCTCCCAGCACTGCACTTCCGCCAGACTGAAGCCCTCCTAGCATCCAGGGCAATGATCAGGCCTGCTTATCACCAGAGTTTTAGAATGAGGCCCCTGCCCAGAAGCACTCGGGCATCAGCAGCAGTAGGCGGACCAAGGATTGCTAGTGCCCAGAAGAGCCGTGACAAAAGACACGGTGTCTCTGCCCCCTGCACTATTTGCCCAAAACACATGGGCTGAATCCTGTTTGACCTGTTTAAAAA